AAATTACCTCTCTAATGCCAAAATAAATTTTGAAATCGGCCCACTAGTTTACATACAAAAATACAAATCTTTCCTCTTTAGTATATTAGTACAGATTTGCTTTCTTTATCTAAGGGAAGCACTAAGGAAAAGGCTTCTAAAGGCGATGAAATTTGGCATAAACGCATAGCATAGTCTAGAAGAATACATAGGGTACTTACATTTGTTTTTTTTTCCACACGGACGAAGACGCGGGCGAAAGCTAATGAACCTATAAATGTTAAATGTGTTTACATATCTCCGACTTGGATTTAAGTTTTATTAAATTATGTTTTATTATAATTTTTAATAGTGTTAAACATTGATTTAATATAGGGATAAACGTATAATTCTATATTTAAATAACTTACCGCATATCAAAGCAAAATATAGTTTTAAAAAATAAAATGGTGAAACATTCTTCTAAAATGTGCGCGCACTTAAGATTTTCTTTGAAAACCCGACCGCCTCGAGATTCTGAGAGTGGCTGTGGGGTACATTAACTTTACAAGTTCATACGTCAAAATGCTTTTAAACATAATTTTTTTTTATTCTTTAGAATAATTTCTTAAAAATGAGTTTTTTTTTTATTATGTACAATTCTAGATTGCGATAAGCTTTTCAATAAAGTTGTGTTAACCTTTTCAATTATTTGTGCTCTTATTTAGGAATACAAATATGAACTTTGACTAGTAAATTGTCACTGGATTCGTATTCTATTCTTATTTATTTAATATTTTTTGCACAAATATTATTATAAGTACACTAAAACTAGTAGCTTAGTTTTAGTGTACTTATAATACAAGATTTACGCAAGAGCAACAAGTCCTGTTGTTTGTACTAGGTTCGTGTGCGGCGTGTGGGTTCGGCACAGCAGCACGCCAGTAGTGCGCGCCAGCGGTCGCGAGCTGTCCTACGTGCTGCTGACTGGCATCCTCATGTGCTATCTCGTGACCTTCGCTCTTGTCTTCCGACCTACAGACCTCCTCTGCTCCATACAAAGGTCTTTATTACCACATCAGTTCTTTTACTTAATGCTCTTAATTTATAATTTGCACAGGTATGTATTGGCGATAAATGTAGGGAGAAAATCATTAAGCATATTCACAACCAATCCTATTTAAAAAGTACTTTAACTGTCGTTTGTTTAAAATCAAAACTTAAACTAAAGCTAAATTTAATTTACTCGACGAATAATACACATTAACCGAGGAATTAGAAAGCGACAGTTTATTTGTTGTGCAGATTCGGCACGGGGTTCTGTTTCACGGTGGTGTACGCGGCGCTGCTCACCAAGACCAACAGGATATCTCGCATCTTCAACGCCGGCAAGCACTCCGCCAAGCGGCCCGCGCTCATCTCGCCCGCCGCCCAGCTCGCCATCTGCGCCGCGCTCGTCTCCGTACAAGTACTCCTCACACCACTACAATCACACCAAACACATTCAAATATATATAAATAGAAATAACTGATGCTTGCGACTTCGCTTGCGCAAAATTGAAAAATAGCTTTTAAACGGTGCAAGAATTTTTGAAATCAGTCCAGTAGTTTTTAAGTTATTTCAATATATGCAAAAATACAAAAATTCTAATCTCTCCCCTTTATAATATTACTGTAGTTAGATTAGTATAGATACAGACGAATTAAGTACCTCCTTCTTTTGGGGAGTTGGTCAAAAACATGTAGTGGCAATATAGTTGCTCTTGAGACATTATTCCCATGATCCACTAGCGATATCTATTAACAGATCCCCGAAACAAGTCAATGTAATTAATTGTATTTAAATAAATTGCCAATAGATGTCACTAAATCACATTTATTACACTGTTTGGTTTACTTTAAAACAAAAGATGGAGCTTAATATGAGTCTATAAAATGTTTTATATGTCAATACAAGGTGCCAATTTAGTGCCACCTCATGTAGGTGGCACTAAATTTGACAACTAACATAGTACCTTTCAAAGAAGTTACCGGTGAAAAATGTTGTTCCCTATGTCTAGTCTATATATTTCTTAAATTTTTTTGAATTTCAGTAACATTATAAATGCGAAGGTTTTGATGGCCAGATGTTTGTTAGTTTGTAGCCTAACCTGCTAAAATCTCGAAGAAATTTGTTATAGACGCAGAGGATAGTATACAAGAACACATAGGCTACTCACTTTTGTTTATATGAGGGCGAAAGTTAGTATTATACAGGTAGTAAAAACCAACATTTGTTACAAATTTAAGTCGTGACGAATGTTGGTATGCGTTTTTAATATAGTTAGCACAAATTGTTTATTATATTATATTATTTATTTCTTGCTATGTATAAGTGTAGAGTTTGAGTAATAATTATTTTGAACCACTTAAAAAACCTCTCTGAAACTCGATCAGAGTTCTTGATAAAATCTTTTAATTTACTTCAATATCTCGACGAAAACTAAAAAGATTTCGACAAGATTAATGAGTTATTGGAGCCGAGAGTTGCTAACTACTAAGTGAGTCGGCGTTTTTATCAGGAAAAAGGTATATTTTAAGCCGCAAAAGCTTTATTAATGAATACATCGGCAAAGGGAAGAGAAAACATTTTCCGTGTAATGATTATGTTGCGTTTGCTTTTACAGCGTTCGTACGAATTTTTTTTGATATTAAACGAGTTTCGTTTTGTCTGACTGAAGCGCTCTTTGATGTCGATTACGTACCGACTTGAGCGATACGGTAAAACAAAAGACTTCTGTACAAAATGTATAAAACGTAACCGTTCGACGCTTTTTCTCTTTATAAAGTGCTTAAGAGAAAATAAGCAGTTTTATATTCTTGCATTGCAACTTTTAAGACGACCGAGTTTTACTATCTTCAATAGTTAAATAAACTTAAATGTTTTTCCTTTCTTAGCCTGAAATCTAAATAAAATCTATTGTGAAGGTCATATCATAGTAGTTACTATATCTGTATAATGATGAATGAAAACTACGTTTATACGAAATTTCAACGAGATCCATTCAGATGTTTAGGCTACAAACATTCATCCATCCATCTAATAACAAGATTTAATGCCAATCTACCAATATTTCAAGGTTTACGAGATAGTAATGTGTTGTAGGTGTTGATTGTGGTGGTGTGGATGGTGGTGTCGCCGGCGCGCGCCATGCACCACTACCCCACGCGGGAGGACAACATGTTGGTGTGCGATTCCTACATCGACGCGTCCTACATGATCGCCTTCTCCTACCCCATCGTGCTCATCATCATCTGCACCGTGTACGCCGTCCTCACCAGAAAGATTCCGGAGGCCTTCAATGAGAGCAAACACATCGGTAAACTCTATAATGTTTAGTTATCGACCTGTTTTATTCATTTTTAATGATCATTTAAAACTTTATATTCAAGGACTTTTTTGTATATAAGAGAAATTAAAAAATACATAAAAAATCATAATGGTGAAATAGTTTATAAAAAGGTCGTGTAGTCTTTGAGTTATTGGAATACATACAAAAATGCAAATGTTTCCTCTTTATAATATTATAATATTAAAAGACATTTTTAAGTACAATTTTACTTAAAAAATCTCTTTTTGAAAAAGTCACACAATTTTTAAAAATAAATTTAAATTAAAATGTTGCCTATTCATAAAACTTCTATAAACTTTTACGTTTTCTTCGTATTGTTCCATTGTACTTTTTTGTTACTCTTAAAGACTTTTGCACAATATTCATAAACATTAGAAAAAGGCAGTCGACGGAAAATTGAAAAACTCTTTGCATTTTTGTATTAAGCCTTTTCGTTGGAAGTCGTGCTGTGTCGACTGCCTTTGACAATAGAGGAAAAAATAATTGAATTGAACAATGCATCGCATAGGAGAGGTTTTGCAATTTTTAATTTAGCTTTTTAGATTGGTCTCTCGAAATTTTGAATTTTTTAAGCTTTAATTGTATATGTAATGTTGAACTACATGTTTATAAAGTGTTTTATCTCAATGTAGATTTACTAAAAGATTGCTTTGGTGACCAATTGACAACTCTAAGTAATGAAGAATTGAGAAATATTTTAATTTAGTGCAAATTCACAGTATACATTCGATTAATCAAAAATAAAATAAAAACAAGGAGACAAACGTCCGTAATGAATAGGGAATTGATCCTGGGTCCTCGCACTAGGAACAGCCTGTATAGCGAAGACACAGCTCAGCGAATAAATATTGTACATCATTAGACGGCAACTTAGGATGTGCAAGTTTAAAAAAAAACATGTAACGTAACGATCCTATCAACTAATCGGCCAATACTTATTATTTACTCCACTATTTAAGAATATTTTGTGTCTACATATAACAGTTTCAATTTATTATTTAGGGTTCACGATGTACACGACTTGTGTGATCTGGCTGGCGTTTGTGCCGCTGTACTTCGGCACCGCGAGCCACGTCCCGCTGCGCGTCACTAGCATGGCCGTCACCATCTCCCTCAGCGCCAGCGTCACCCTCGCCTGCCTCTTCGCGCCCAAGGTACGCACTGCACTCATCATCGTCATCACCATCATCATCATCATCTTGCTCTTGTCCCACAGTGTGTGTTGCTTCATTCATCTCTATTAGCCGTCATATCTGAATCCACTCCCTTCTTAAGAATATCCTATTTCACACCATCCATATTATTAGATTAAATAGCACCGACTAAATACGCTTATTAAAAAAAAAAAACAAATCAATAGACTAGGCATAGTGAACAAAAATTTCATTGGTACTTTGAAAGTATACGTTATTTAATATGTCACCTCGTGCTGTATCGAGATGTAATAAAACTTTATCGACCGTGGTTCTGAGGATTTGTTAATAGATGGCGTTAGTGATTGTTATCTAGTTAAATCTGTTATTGATAATTTTCTCTATAGGTGTAATTATGGATTTTGTTTCAGTTGTACATCATACTAATTCGTCCGGAGAGAAACGTGCGCCAGAGCATTATGCCGGTACGGTACAGTCGGAAACCACCGCCTTCACAAAACTTTACACACACGCAATCCAAAAGTGAGTATAGATTTTAAAGCTGTATTTAAAGAATAGTAAAAAAACCCTAATTTATATTATTTTCCCACAGAACCGTCTTCAGATAAAGAAACGCAAACGGATCCGACTGACTTCAGTATAGTAACGAATGGACAAACGGTGACATTACGACGTGTTAATTTAGATAAAGATGAAACAACGAAACTAGGAAAGGAAAATACAGCAGAGAAAAAGACCAAAGATAATGGAGTAAAAGATAAAGATAAAAAGTTAGAAAAGAGACATTCCAAAGAGAAATTAAATGAAAAGAAAAATTCCAAAGAAAAGATTCAAGACAGAAGTCAAAATGTCAAAGAAGAAAAGATCGTTTCAGAAAATGTGAAACAAATAAATAATTGTGATATTACTAGAGATAAAGTTCAATCGATGAATGAAAAATCGGAATCTTTATAGCAATGGGAGTCTTCCAAATCATTAAACGATGTTGGAACAAATCGAAATAACAATAGTAATCTTAAGAAGAAAAGTTGTTCGTGCAAAATGAGAGAACGGAAACCAATCGTGGTGTAAATTTGAAACAATTTTAAAATTATCATTCGTATAGGTATACTGTACATAATAGATATAAATTTGAGAAACATTTCAATATTTAAGGAATATTGTTAAGATAGCGTTAAGTGTTTCTTTTAAAATGTCTATGTAAATACAGTGATATGGGAATTGTAAATATAAAAATGAAGACATATAGTGATTCATGAATACTTCCATATGTGCGTATTGTAAATAGTAGAGTTGATGTTATATACTTACTATTCTTAGTGCTTGATATAACCGAGGCGGGCTCTGAGCCCGGGCGGCGAGGACTCTTGATAGAATCCATTTTACTTTATAACTTAAGTCCTTGTCGCTTCAGTAGTTAATGTATCTTTCGTATTTATATTACCGTTGCACTTTAAAGTATTTTATCACAAAGACCTCTCCGCCTTTGCTCGCCTCGTGTATATTGAAGTATATAGATAAGTGCAAAGCCAATCATATAAAGATGTATAATAAAATGTTTTGATGGTTATTGAATTTTTTTTACTACCTGAACCGTTTGAGATAGATACTAAATTTGGGAATTATTTATAAGCCATGTAAGAAGGAAAACAGTGTGTACACGTAGATAGCAAAAGCTATGTTAATTAGGGTGAACCTGTGATATTTCGGGAGAGAATATGATCAAATATAAAGTAAAAGATAGAAATACATACATTTGAATAGAAAAAATCATTGTTTTAACATATTTTACGCAAGAATTTAATTTTGCGCAATAGAAGAAGTTAAATGAAATATGGCAGGTTTTTATTTAAAAATGAAAAAAGGTTTTACGTAAAGGGTCTAACGAGTTTCGGCCACCTGATATCATAATTCACAGAATAATTTGTTCCCGCGCCGCAAACACACCGACATACAATTTTGTTTAACATCGCTATAAATTAAATTTTATTAAATCACTTCAGTAAAATTCCGTTTGGAATGATTACTCTATTCAATTTTGCATTATTTTATTCGAAGATTTGACAAAATGTTAGCTACCTAAAACTGTAAAAAATCTACCTAAATCTATAAAATTATACTACAAAGCAAAACTACTGATCGATTGTTTTAATTTTAAACACAAAAATAACAAATAACATAACATTTTCTTTACAAGCTATGTTAATATACACATAGCTTGGAATACATAATCGTAGGTATCAAGGTTGCAACGCATTCACCCACTCTGTAATTACTTATGCTACGAGCTACAACGTACATGTAGTGTAGCTTTATGTAAAGAAATTAAACATATATGATTAATGCATAACTATTATGTTTTATTTCAGAAGTACGTAGGGAATTATAATTCACTGACCGTAATTTTATTGTACAAATACTGCACTTTGATACATCTCTGTTAACGGTCATATCTGAATTCACTCTCACAAGTATATGCTCTCACGTAATCCACACATACTTCGATTTTCCTCTAATTTCTAGACATCCACATTAAATCTCATCACTTTATTATAGAGGTTTACTTTAAAAAAAGAAACATCAATTCAATTAAGCTTACAACAAATTTCGGTATCTTTAAGGTCCAAAGTGGCCGCAAAGTTTTAACTTTGTTATATTTTAAACTTATTCAATTTTTGATTTGAACAAAGTTTTAATAGCTTTCCTGGATCGTTGTCAGCCCTCTTACCGAAGGTTTCTTGTTATATCTTTTTGTACTTTCGTTAATTAAATATATAGTACAACAAAAATACAAAGTTAATAATTATTCTGTAATAAACTTGTTGTTGCCCACAGAGTCGGTAATGATAGTCATTTCTGTGCGCGTAAAATAATTTGAATTTATAACATTTATTAAGAGGACAATATAAAAGGCGTTGCCATAGCAACTGATACTATATCAATCGTTTGATTTAAAATCACACTTCACATTAATATTATAAATGCGATAGCTTAAATGGATGATTTGTTACTAGTTATGTATAAAACGGGTTGATGTATCTCGATAAAATTTGACACATATGTAGAACATACTCCGGATAAACACAAAGGTAACTAGGGTTTTTGTTTTGTTTCTTTTAATTCCACATTGATGATATTATAAAAAGCTTATCCATCACAAGTAAAATTCTTTGACGTGTTTTATTTTGATTCTAGGATATTGGTGACACGTGATTTGTATGCAGTATACCAACATTTTGCAGGTAGACAAATTTATTCAATTCGCGGTCACAGAGTAGAATGTTCCATGCATATAAATAAGGTTATTCCAAATCACTGATATCGGATTTGATATCCAGATTCAATTATTGTATTAGAAATACATCTCGAAATGAAAGATGGTAGAGACTAAAAGGAAGAAAAGTACAACGACAGTATCGCGTATAAAATAGAGTAAATATCTAATCGATAAAAATGTATCTATGTTGTTACCGTAATTATGCGGTGTTAGAGCTCCGTTGCATTTCAAAATTGAATACATATATTCATGTTAAGTAACATAATCACATCTATTTTGTTTAGAGCAACATGAAGGTGTGAAAAATAAAAGAAATGTAAAAAACAACGTACATTACACATAACCAAATATATAAACATGAAAATTATAGTGTTCAGTAAGTGTATAATAGGCGGTATTCAGTATATAAGCGACCCTTATAACCCGGTCTGTCGGCTCTCCGCAAAGATATATTACCCCTGTATGCCTACATCCTGTACCTCATTTATCAGCTTTACAGATTGTCTCGCCCCAAAAAATACATTAAATACACTACCAAGTGACAAGGACATATATGTGAAACTATATTTTAGGACACTTTAATGTTTTCTACTCTCCTATAAAACGCTATGTCGTCAACCTTCGTGTTTAAAGAAGTACAGACAATATGAGAAAATTTTTACATTCCATAATTTTACGAAAAGATAAAGATGGACTGAAAAACATCCAAGCAGGAGTTATTATAGCATAAAACATCGTTAAAAATATTGCTAAACCACCGTTTCAATCCACATTCACAAGTAAGGAATAATAGAATAACACTCTGACATATATCCAATATATTTGCCGAGTAATTGGAATTATAAAAGCGAGGCGAATCATTCCATAATGCATCGCATACCAACTGTACTGAAGATAATTGACAGAACCATTCTGTGTTATTGCTAATGCACTGTTATTGCTTAAATAGGTTATGCTAAATACTAGCTTTAGGAGAGCTCTAAGCATTCCAGAATCGACTGCCAATTAGGGAATTGAATATCGAATGAACGTGACTACAAACATAGAGACAAATCACACTAATGCTAAAGCGTTTATATGTACCAATTTAATTAAATTTATGTATAATTAATATTATTGTAATTATAAAAAACATTTTTCATTCCTACTAATGTATATAGGCTTTTGAGTTTTCTTTTTTAAATAAAAAAAGCATCTTTCACCATTCTTTTGTTTCATGTCCTCGTAAGTAACGCAAAAGAGTATTGTTTCAACAACTTTCAGCAAACAAAACTTAGCTATCTAACCTAATGACTTGGACATTGTAATACGAAACTTATCGAAATTATTGTTATCATACAAGTCAGTTCAAAGATCACTGAGCGATGAATAAAGGAAATTCTTCGAGAAACTTCGAAACTGGAATTGATTGATGTTGCCGACATGGAAAGGCTCGGTAAACATTTATTATCCAGTTTGAAGTTGACCTATAAAAAACGAAATTTCTTTTTTATTTCTAGCTAATCGAGCGCGAAAAAGTTCATGCAAACAAGGTTTTATGTAGTTGTAGATTTCATCAATCAGACTTTCAGTTCCATAATAATATTAAACAATACATCAAAATAAAACATCTTAATTGTTTAAACAAAAAAATTAAGGTTCGCTACTTTCTTAGCAGAAATGTTGTTTTACATAGTTGCTTTAATAGTTTATATTTAAAAGTAAAATTCACTGACCAGTGAATCTATCCGACAGAACCTGTTGTGAATGAAGGCAATAACTCACTCCAAGCTTTATAACACTTGCCTCGTTATTTAAAAATTAGCTCCGTAAAAAATGAATGGCGGCTCTCACCGAACTTGAAACATTAACGAGCTTTCAACGGATTAAATAACATTAAAATTTGTATAAGAGTCGTTTTTGAAAACTTTAAGGTTATTTTTTATATCTTTATAATATTGTGAGTTTAACTACTAATTATTTTAAGGTTTAATAATCTGAAGTTATCAATTTAAAATCTCTATTAAACTAAACCTAATTAAAATGTGCACATACATAAGTATATAATGTAGCATACTTATGCTTTTGCATAATTGAAGACATTTAAAAGACGCTTTTATTTTTTTCTAAAAACTATGTTAACTTGTAAAATGTGTGTAATATTCCTAGCAAAGGCAAACGGTAAGTCAATAGATACGAAGTGATAAATCGCTCCAGTGTTGCGTAAACATCCCTCGATATATCTGAAGCGATATCCGATATAGTGATACAGCTCGAAAGGGTCAAAAGGGATGAACGGACGAGAAAATATGGCACCTAAAGATAAAACTTATCAAGTTATTGTTTGCGTTTGAGATTATGTACATACTTATACAGCAGCCAGCAACTTAAAAAAAAATTGAGATGAAGGAATCAAATAAAAAAAATATTTTGTACAATAATTCAGAATGTTCAATCATTTATTTAATATTAGTGTGAACTAAGATTAAGCGCAAATATTAAAAGAAAATATGTAAGTACATACAATATTACCGAATAGGAATAGGGTAGGAGTGGCGTCAAAAAGAGATAGGCCACGGTCACAAAACTCGCGACAAGCGGGTATGCGCGACGGGAGGAGCGGGGCACAGTGGACTAAACTGTCGACCTACGTAGAAATTTTCATCTGATATGCCGATGTCTCTCGATATTATGTGTC